ATTGATTGACATGGATAAAGAACAATCTTAACAACTATCATGCTTCTGATAATGTTCACTTTTATGTGTAAAAATACCTGTAGTTTATATTGATTGGGCTTTAATTAACGTCTCCACGTTTCATGTCATCAGACAGAATTGTGAGTTTTCTCTTCACAGCTGACCACTAGGAGGCGCTGCAGCTTCCACCTGCCATGACCTCAACGCACATCCACCCCGACACTGAGATGGTGAAATGAGTGGACATTTGGGGGGAGATTTCTTAGAACTGCAAGGGAGGGTGAAAACACACACACACACACACACACACACACACACACAGACACACACACACACACACACACACACACACAGACACGCTGCAGCCGGTGAGACTACAGTGATACCAGCCGGATGTAAAAGGAAGAAGAGAAAGAGAAGTGTTTACAATCTATCCGAATAATCAACTGATTGAAATGAGTTATTTAGTGACTTTTATTTCGATTTTATTGTCAAAACTTGTATTTAAATCTTGTGCCTGGGTCCTCCCTTAATTGATTTGAGGGGGGGGGGGGGGATTAAAGGCTCTTGCATTGGACTAAATAGGCAAAGTGGAAGAAATGCACACAGAGGTGAAAGTGCCGGAACTCCACGAGAGTTTGGAGGTCGGCCATCTGGTTCCCATTGAGGCTCGAGGTGGAACACTGAACTCACCTTTCACCCACTTCTCCTGCAGGACACACGCTCATGGGTAGCGTTGAATTCTCCAACCTGCAGAGTGTTTCTGATATTCTTACCAAGAAAGAAAGTGTGTCAGAGACATTACTTCATGTCATCATGACAACTTAGACACAAATGTTATTGATTGATTCACGTTCATCATATACTCACTCACCTCTCAAGTTCTGCAACGGTACAGAGAATATTATCTATTTAGTGACAATGAAAAATAAAAACCTGCTGATAGATGTTGACGCAGACGCTCAGCTGTTGCTGTTCTAAAAGACTGAAACCTGAATAAATACATCTGTTCCATTGATCACATGAATGATGTCAGTTAAACATTAAGTAATACAAGTTTCTTTACAACCACTGTGGCCCAATTAAGGGACTGAAAAAGTAGTGTTTTATCACATGAAAGCACATTAGTTATTAATGTGTGAATACTGAACTATGGGGGATTAAATGATTTGATTAAAAAAAGAAAAATCTGAAAGGTTAATTCCCTTAAAGTTTTTTGCGTATTTTATTGAAAAGCGTGCAAACTTTCCAACATCTCTTGTCAAAGTGTTTGTTTTCAGTTTTTAATATCTCGTGGATTTCTCATTCTAAAGTATGTTTATGTTTCTCATGTCTTGCCTGTGATTTCTGTGAATTTACCTAAAAGATGTATCTGCATGTAATGACAATGACTTCAAAGCCTTTGTTTTCTGGGACTGCCCCGGTCTGACTGTAGATAACTTACAGCAGCACGGGTACAGGGGCCTGGCTACCACCTGGAAGCAGCTCGGCACGGTGCGGCACGGAGCGGCACGGAGCGGGACGCGCCTTGGCTCGGACCGTCGGCACCAGCTTGAGCAGATGGTCTGCGGCGTGACGAGGGGGAGCCGGTGACGCAGACGTCGGCGAACAGCTGAAACAACCCACCAGATACAGGTGGCGAGACCATCCGCTCCCACACATACACACACGCGCACGCACACGCACACACAGACCGGCATGGTGTTGTGTTACATAACCGAGGTTGAGGGGCTACACAAACACACACACACACACACACGCAGTTAGCATCACACTGGTTCCCTCCACAAAGAGCCAATGGGATTGTTCCATTGGATTGTGGATTATTGTAGAAAATAAGCTTTGTGGCAAACAGACGTTTATACTTCATCAAGATAATCTCTAACAAATGAATTTTGAATCAGAAGCAAAAAGCTAACATTAGGAAGTACACCACGGTCTCACAACTTCATGTCATCACCGCTAAGCTAAAGGAGGACTAGTCCGCGTGATAATGGTCATTAGCAACCAACTTTTTTGAGACGCATTAAAGCTTCAAAGTTCACGAGAGGGGTATATTTTGATGTATTTTATATCGTTAACATCTCTTTACGTGTGTTATTTGCAGGCATCTAACCAAAAACCCATTCAAAAAACCCATTGACTTAGAGACTAGGGAACCGAAAGGTATGAAATTGCTGAGTCTGAGTTTCTGGAGTTTAGGACTCATTCCTGCAGCACGATAATCCATCCCCGTCTCCAAAGTCAACTTAACCATCAAGCGATTGGTTGCGACCCCCGTGAGGATGCTTTCCTGTGTTTGTGCGCACGCATCACATGCACAAACCTAAGTTTTATGTGTGCAGGTTTTAAGACAAGTTTCAGGTTCTTCATCTACGTCTACAGTATATGCACAACAATTACAACGCAGCAGTCGATGGCAATGAAAGGCTTGAGTCTCAGGCACCCTTCAACGCTGCTCATTATAAACATGTATTCACATTTACAAACCAAAATCATGCAAATAAAAGCAAAGTGAGACTCTAAGACATTAAAGGCTGCTGGTTGAATGTAATATAAATATGTAGTAGACGGTATTTCAAATGCATAAACAGAAAGTGTTCATTTGAATGTGTGAATTGAACTTTAAACTGAGCTGTTGAGAAGTGTGAACGCACACAACACTGTACACCCACACACACACACTCGTTGTGGATCTGATGTCTCAACAGAGAAGCTGTCAGAAGGGTCTGAGTGCCTCCCAATGGTCTGCTGTTGCACTTTCTGTGTAAAAGGTTTAATTTATTATTCATTATCACACACCTACAGTGAGAAGGGGGCACACTAATAACATGAGAGAAATTATGAAAGTGAGCAAATATTAATAATGTGTGTAAATTGTACCTGATTTGAGTGCCGTCGCCTGCTTTCTGGTTTCTGCACCGTTGTCTGTTTGGATCCAGTTTTTGGAAACAGAGTGAAGCCTGGATGGAGCGGAGGAGGGACAAACAGGAAACCATGACAATAGATGTGACTGTGATGCCAGTCAAGGCTCTACATATTTTGCTTATTGTCAAAAATATTCCATGAAAAGACCAAAACCATCTATGTGTTAGTGTGTATATGAATACTTAAGACTTCTCTTGACCCAAAACACACAATTATTGACACCTGATATAAAATACTTGAATAAAATGAAGTCTGAACGGATTGTTGATTTAGTTTTTGTTCTGAAAGGGTGAGGCTGACCTTATTCTATATTGACAACAAATCCCATAAGAAGACTGATACCAAAAATATGTTAATCCGTCTCTCAGTTTTTGATTTGATGCCCGAAATAAGGCCTGTGGTTAACACGAGATTAAAAGATTTTAGTTTCGTTAAACAAAATAAAATATCTTCTTCCACGCTTTTTAAAAAAGACGGGACGACTAAACGTCGTCACGTTGAACATTTTTACTTTAGCTTTGTGGCGGTGACGTGAAGTCATGTGACCGAGGAGTCGTTCCCTTATAGCCTAACGTTAGCGTTTTACTTCTGGTGATTGTATTTAAGAAAAAAATTATTAAAAAGTTCATTTGTCAAGATTTTTGTGTTTAATTCTTTTTTCTTGCTGAATAAAACCACGTACCAAAAAATGTTTGTTTGTCACAGAGCTTATTTTCTGCAACAATCAAAAATCCCATTTGCTTTTTGTCAAGGGAACCAGTGTGACGCTAACTTCTGGGTTGGCCTTAAAAAATCAACAGTTCAGCAACAAAAAGTCAGAGGCTGCTTTAGTCCTCATTTGACTAAAATCAAGGACCCATTCTTTAAAAAAACGAAGTGTCCAACATCTGAATTTACTGCTCACTGTTTAGAGTAAACTGTTTCGTGTGAGTGGTGTCGTCCAAAAACCTGGAAAGACAATTGGTATTTTGTTTGTTTGGTTTTTTGTCGAGGATATCATACGTCATCACGCCGAACACGGAAACTCTTCTACTCACTAGTCCGCCTTACTTACTTTCCAGCCTTGTCGTGGTCGTACCTTAAATACAGTCCATGGTTCATACCTGTGCTCAGGATTGGAGGAACTAGCGGTAGTGTCGTTGAAGTAACGCGACCGTGGTGCAGTTCTTTCATAGCCAAATGTATCTTGTCCCACAGTGAGTTAGAGATAAACAGAATGAAAACACATCAGCTCAGCAACAAGAAGACAAATATGAACCCCCCCCCAGAAAACAAAAAAACACAAATTCTGTGATCCAATGAAATACTTTTTTTTTTTAATGTGTATTTAATAACTCAGACAAAAACACCTGAGAAAAAACTGACAAAATGATTCCAATAGGATTTTCTGTAATATATTCAATTATGTATATTACAACTATTATCACAATAATTCAAGCATATATCATATACATATATATATATCTAGTGAGAGAATAGTTTAATATTCAATAGTACAGTTGTATGGTACAGTAGCAGTAGGGTGCGTTTCTCGTTTCTCATTGGGTAAAGGTTGAAGGAGAGGTATAGACAAGTGTTTGTGTGTAAATCTATATACGATTTATCGATACAATATGCAACAAAAGAAAGAAAAAAGAAACTAAAAAGAAGGAATAAAAGACAAAGAAAGGGTTTAGGCAGTTCAGTACTGTGTTTGAGATGGTGGAAGTGTTTGCATGTGTGTGTGTGTGTGTGTGTGTGTGTGTGTGTGTGTGCGCGCGTGTGTGTGCGTGCATCAGGTGAAGGATCAGATCCGATCAGCACCATAGAAGTCCATAACAACATCAACAACAACAATAAGGGTTAAAGCCTGGGTCAGGACTGTGTGTGTGTGTGTGTGTGTTGTGTGTCGGCATGCTGAAGGTTTCAGTCACCGTTCGATCCGGGCAAATCAACCCTAAACCAGTTAGCATTTCATTTTTGCACTTCCTGGACAAACAGAGAGAGAAAGACTGCAACCATGTTGTGTTATTGTTAACAAATTGTCCGTCAATGTGAGTTTGTGTGTGTGTGTGTGTGTGTGTGTGTGTGTGTGTGAGCGAGACACGTTCAATATAAAAGCAAACCTGCCAGTGAAATTCTCCCCCTTGTAAATTTTCAAACATCTGCTCACATCCAGCTGTTCTGATGGCTATTTGCTTCCTGTTTTCCTCTCTCTCTTTTTTTTCTCCTTCACCTTCTAAAAAAAAAAAGAAAAAAGCCCTGCGATTATTTCAAAATCAGACACGGAATCAAATAGAAGAGAACAAATCAAGTGCTTGAACGAGCCCACAAAAGAAAACAAAACGAAAACACAAAAAATCTCTTAAAACTATACAATTTTTTTGTTTCACCGTCTTCCTTGCGACGCCCTCTCCCCTCGACCCAAAAACAATCGTTACTAAGATGCCCCGCCTGGTCTCGCATCGTGTGAAATACCTGATTCAGCCGTGATACATTCTCAGTTACGCCTCCGGCCTAACGCGACTAACCAGCTCGGTGAAATCGAAAATAGATTATCTGTTGTTTTGCGATAAACAGCTGGGAGGAAAAGCATTTAGTGTGGCCCCGTGACTGTCCAGCTAAACAGCCCCTCCCCGCCCCATATATAAAATATACAAAAGATTATCTCCAAAATCCTCCTCCTGACTATCTCTGCTAATAGAAAAATATACAATAATCCTTTGTCAAAATCTCTTTGCGTTATGGACGAAAACCCTGCACCACCTCCTCCTCCTCCTGCACCTCCTCCTCCTCTTTGCTGGACTAGTCTTTCCTGCCTTCCCACTTCAAAAATATACATGTTTTTTTTTTTTGTCCTATTTATAGAAAAGAATTACACATCTGACCTCTTCCTGGCTTGAATCCGTGCCTTGAGCTTAAAAAGTGAGACTTCACTGGCATAATGTGAATTCAACACCCTGTTTGAACTGGCCGGAGCGGCGGCCGGGGACGCACTACCTGCGAAAACACCGTGCGACACCGGGCGTAAGCACAGCACCGAGGGTGACGCGTAAGCTGCCGAGGTGACACAAACGGTGAAACAGTACATTGAGTGGATACAGCGAAGCAGCATGTACAAAGAGAGTCAAACTGGGGGAAAGAGATTGGCGTCGCATGTGCTTTCCTGTTGTGACATCCTAAAGCACAGCGTGCACGCGTTTGTTTCTGGTGTTTGCGCCCCGGTGTCGCACAGCGCTTACTGCAGATCTACGCCGGCCTTCTCCCCGCGCCACTTCAACTAAAGTGCTGCTGTTGTTGGGTTTGCCTTGTACCCTCTTTTTCTCATTTCCACCTCCCCTCCCGCCCCCTTCCTCCTGCTTCGTCGTAGTCGTCTTCTTCCTCTTCCTCCTCATCCTCCGCCCTCACAAGTCTCCGTGCCGACTCTCGTACTTGTTGATGATGTTCCTGCAGCGGCCCAGCTCTTTCCTCATGTCGGCCACCTCCTGGCGGAGGGCGTTGTTCTCCCGCTCCAGGAAGGCGGCGCGCACAGAGATCTGGTTCTCCTTCAGCCGCCGAGCATCCCGCGAGCGCTTCGCCGCCTCGTTGTTCTTCACACGCCGGCACCAGTACTTGTCGTCCTTTCATCGCCGGCAGCCGTTTGGTATGGTGGAAAGAGAGAGAGGGGGGGGGGGGGGGAGAAGAAGAAGGAAGCATGGGATGAGTTATGAGGGTCAGATATGTGATGAGGAAAGGAGGAAGGGAAAGAGGAAAGGAGGCAGCAGTTGAATAGTTGCAACTACAGAACACAAAAAAACATGACAACAAATACTGGACAGCGAGAAGAAGCTAAAGGCTGAAGATCATTTTACATAGTGGCCAAAAGCAGGAACTACAACTTCGAGTCCGTCACGTGATGTCATGCGGCCTAAAAAGACTGTTTCCCACAGACTTACATTGGGAAACATGTCTATAAAACGCAGATGATTTTCTTCGAGGTAGAACAACTCCCCAGTAGGAGCACTTGAAAAGCCCTTATTTATATTTCTAGAAGTTGTAAAATGCACTAATAGCGTACAATACTGTGATTTCACAACATTGGACGAAGAGCCGAGAAGTGGACAACACTGCAGTGATGGTTTAAGACGTTTCTTTGGATGTTTTGATGACTTAGTTACTAGAATGTATTGTCACTGCTGTGAAGTTGAGTAGTCCTTTAGTAGGTGGCCGTGGTATAAGAACAATAATGTGCTCCAAGATGTTCTCGTCTGGAAAATAACAGACTCTGCCTCATCCGTTACTTTCCTATATTGGAACACCTCCCAGTGTTTTATTGCTGAAAAGACATATTGGCTGTCACAAGACACCTGAACGCTAACAGATAGAAACACAGACACATTAAAGAGACACCAGAGCGGACTGCATGTACGTAAATAAATGGCCGACGATGTCAAATCATTTGGAACTTCTAGGACGGTAAAGAGGAGATGGAGAGTAATAAAGATGTTAAGTGGAAATAGATATTATGCTGAGCTGAGACGTAATGGCCGATGAGGGTCTCATGAGAGGACGATTGGAAACCACAGAGATTGTTGTGTTAAACTGTTGGACTCCAAATTGAAAGTAGTGATCTCTGTCTGGAGAGATTGATGTCGGTGGAATCGCTGCAGTGTTTCCTCAGAGAGGATCTGCTTACGTCTGGCACAGTTAACATCATTCCAACTTTAAACTCTGCAAAATCATTATCTTTTTGAAACATCTAAAAAAGCGGTTCAGAGATAATCACTTTGAGTATTTGTTTTTATTATTTGTTTATGAAAATAATCAAACTCTCCTTAACGTTGTGATCCTGGATCGCAGCCAAAGAGATGAATCTGAGATGTAATTCACGAAGAGCTGCAGAGCAATCAGCTTCCTCTTTAACTTTGCTCAGAGATCATTTTTTTTCCAAACAACCTGCGTACGAATGATTTATAAAACCTCCTGAGACAGAACACAAGGTGAGCGCCTCCAACCCTCCGTAAATTACAAAGGCCTCAGGAGCTGCAGCTGCTCCGCACTGACCTGTGAAAGCACGAGCCATCGATCAGAGCTCCTCTTACTGCGCAATGAGCCGAGGACCAAATATCGTAGCACTCTGGTCGGGAGACGGGAATACTAGCGGGCATCATGCGCCATAAGTTCTTTTTCCACATCGACACAGGAGCTGTCAAAAGAGCTGTGGCCTTCGTCGTGATGAAGTTCAGACGCGGCTGCTGGGCGTTCTGCCTGAAACGCATCCTGCAGAACAAACCTGACCTCTCTTCACACGCGAGGACGTGTTTCTGCAGAACACTCAAGTGTTGAAGTAGGTTGACATTTTAAATGCCTAGTTTTCCTCTTATGTCATTTTAATGTTCTACTTTTCAGAGATTTCGGTTCCACTTTTATTTGACTGTATTTGTGACTGATGCTGGGTTTTTTTGTGCATTTATTTATTACATTTTATATAATACCCGACGTAATATTACAAAAAATATATATTATTTTCTCCTATTTTGAGAAAATAAGGTTTAACTCAAATGATAATAAGGACGTTTCAAAGTTTGAAACAAGTGAGAAGGTGAAAACTAAATAAAACACACATCTGCTCATTGGCCATCAAAACTATCAAAGTAAAGGTGTGTATGTTTGTCAGCCTGTCAGGATCATTATAATATCCCAGTGGTCCGTAGGACAGCAAAGGACTGTGGGAGATGTAGTACCTTCTGCTCGTTGGGGACCAGCATCTTGCGGGCCTTCTTGATCATCGGTTGAGGCTTCAGCTCCTCGTCGGAGAAGCGGTGCCGCCGCGGGTCGAACGCCTCCTGGCCCGGCACGCTGGACAGCGCCAGGTCCGCCGGGTCGGGGTCAAAGTTCACCGTGATGTCGCTGCTGCCGTTGGCGGACTCCGGAGGCCCAGGGGGTCCCGGAGGGCAGGTAGAAGTGGGTGACTGGTCCTGAGGCACCGCCCGACCACCTGGGAGAGAGAGAGAGAGAGAGAGAGGATGACTCCGTCTGTTATTCCAAACTATTTATAAACTATATATATATATACACTTACAGACAGTGTTAAATATATATAGCCAGTAGAAGCCAGCACTTTAAAATGAACATCGGTAATTTCACCAACAATAACTCAAATTTCCTCTTTTGTTTTTGTGTTTAGTGTGTTTTTTTAGCGCCACCAGGAAGCTGCCAAAGTCAAATATTTCTAAAGCCTTAAGTTATATTAGTGCTCACAGAGATCTTCTCCGTCGTGCCAGATGTGGACGCAGAGACGTACGACACAGCTGCAAAGCTATTAACAATCAAAAGGAGGTCAGTGGAAGTTTGGAGTATTGCTGGTGCGCATTTAAGTCGAGTTTGGTTTAAACTTGAAACAATCTCTTCAGTCCGCTGATTATAATGATTGTTATATTCAGACTACTTTTGTTAAAAGTGGCAAGTTGTGATAGTCACATGAAAAAAACGTCACATGAATTACAAGAAAAGAGTAGAACCTGCAGGCAGCAGGACTGGTTTCATCACTCATTGAGCCGTTCAATCATCATCATCTGGTTTTATCTGCAGATTAGAGCCCATCTGCCCTCCGAGGACGGTCACGTGTCAGAGTGCAGCCGCCAAGCTAACGGCTAACATGCTAACGATGATGAGACAATCCTCATGGGAGGTTTGATCTCATTCAACTTAAAAACTCTGAATGTGGAGCGAAACACGAGGACAACGTTGACTACCAATGGGTCTGTAAAGGAGCGGTCTGGAATGTTTATAGGACAAACAAAAAAACATCAAATATTTCTTGATTTCAGCCATTTTAAAATCGGACTTTTCAAATATTTTAACATACACTTTGCCATATTTATATTAATTATATTTATTTTTTAGAATGTGTAGAGCACCAGCCCACCTACACACCAGGCCAAAGTAGTTTGTTTTACACTACTACAACATTTCTATAGATTTATAGATTTGCTTTTTTGAATTCTTCATAGTCTTGTTTGGCAGTTTGGTGTCAGACGATGTTCTAAATGATGTTTTGGAGGCGCTCACTGCATTTTTCAACATGTTTATTGACACTTTCAAATAAAAACGATCTTTGTGACTGATGGTTTGTAAATAAAAGGACTCAGTACAGTAGAGGTTATTGTTGATATTCGAAGTAGTGAGAGTAGGAAACAGAAACAGCTACATACAGGGGCATAAACAAAGCCAGTGCAGAAAGAAATAACATTAAATCAGCAATGGTGCTATTTCCTATGTACAGTATACACCCTAAAAAACATCACCATCATGGTTTTCTTTTTCTTTTCTTTTGTCATATACAGAAATACAACAATGTTGCTGGAAGATATGTATGTTGATGTCAGCGTTCGATCGCCTGACGAGACGATACATGGCGGTTAGTTTAGGAATGAGAAGCTGATGCACGTCTGCAAGCAGAGCGAGCGGTCACGCCTGTCAAGAATAAAAGTGTCAGCAAGTCACTAGGGGCCCCGTCACGACAGCATGCACTGGGGCCCGAAATCACCCCAATCACGCCACTGGCCACATAACTTCATTGGTTTTTTTGTGTCCCGAGTGTTTAGCGTCGGAGTGAGATGTCCTGTACACTCTGCCTCTCTCCTGCTTCACCCAGAGAGCAGCGAGCCAAGAATGAGGGCCATGAAGAGGATCACCCTATAGACGCCGAACAATATGTGTAATTCAAAATGGGCGAGGAGAGGGGAGAGTGACAACGTGTTTCCCAATCGTTTCTTGCACATTCAATAACGCGTGGACGCTGTGACTCTTCATATTGTCCCTTAAAAATCTCCCCAAACAGACGGTGTCCTTGCTCTGCTGCTTCCTTCACAGCCGCCGCAGTGATGCCGACTCACCACCAGGTGACGGTATCGAGCCAGAAACAGCTGAGCAGGGCAGCGAGTTCACATCATGCCAGATTTACAGTACAACAAGCAGGGAAGATCAGGATTTCAGTTTAACCCTTTGTGGAGCTTCATGTGAGAAGAGAATTCAGCCCTTATCACTGAATACAGAAATGAAAACGATCATATCTGAACCAAAACAAGGAAATTAAAGAAAATGCGGTCAGAAATCAGACATCTTGTGCCTGTTTGGTATTTAATGAAGCTCTGATGAAAGACTACACATGATGTTGGTTTCTTGCTGGTGTAGCGGTCGATGTTTTTTCCCCCCCAATTGGATTCCAGCATGCTTTAGAGCAAGGACATATAAATCAATTGAATAAAATCTAAATAATAATACCTGGAATTTAAGAAGAAGTTGATTTTGTTGAGTCGGGTCCAGCTATTCTTGGATGCTTCTAGTAAAGGATGTAAAACTTTCATCCTGCAGCTATTCTGCTTTATTTCCTTTTCTGAATGCAGCACAAGAATAGTGAGTCTATTTCCAGTCATATCTCCACACCAGCTGCTTATCACACAATTATCTTCCATTTCTGATAAATGGAGAAAAATACCATTTATTTTTATTTTTTTTACTTTTCCTCTCTGGAATACAAGTGTTCGTTGAGCAATCATCCAGCACCGGTCAGAACAGTTCTGTGGCACCGTTTGTAAGACGCTTTTCTTTTTTTTGTGTGGAGCTCCAGGCTTCGAGCCACAGATTATAAATAACTGCAGAGCTGCTGGTGACCAATATCAGCCGAAACAGTAGTGGAAAGATTTTGGATACTTGAGCAAAAATGAAAGAGAGAAGAGACGTGTTTACAGTACGTAATGTTTTACCAGCAGAGAAGCATGTTTATACAAATCGAGTTGATTTGTTGATCATGATTTGTTCAAAAATGTTACAAAAGTACAAACGAGACATGATTTGAAGATATGACAGTTAATGATTTCATAAAAAGTGATAATTTTTACAAAAATATAACAGGTGTGATTTTAAACCAAATGCTACAAATGTGCTTATTCATACAAAACTGTCAAGAAAGATATTTACTAAAACATCAGAGATGTGATACCTCTGACCTTCAAATGTTGAAACAGAATAACAGAAATAAATGTTTAAATATATCTGTGTTTCCTACCATCATGTTGTGGAAATCATTGTCAATAATTATTGGGAGGAATAATTAACATTGACATGTGATCAGACAGTCTCTTCACACATATTATTATTATTATTATTAAAAGGTGATCTGTGCAACTTTGTTATTCAGGAAGTTTGTATCAAACAAGTAGCTCTTCGTACTGCTCGGTACCCTTGAAGTAGCTCTCAGTTTCAAACAGGTTGGTGACCCCTGAGCCAGAGTCTTGGCAACCTGTCGTCCTGCAGAGCTTGACATTTTGGCAGAGGAGTCCAAACCTGATTACTCTTTGACTTTCAGGACATCTCTGAATTAAAGGACTGAACTTTGCAACCAGCAAATAAATTACTCCAAACAGTCGACTTACCGACATAATTAGGGGCTAAATCATGAATATCCTCTCTTAACCAAACACTAAGTGCACAGAGCTCCAGTGGGATTGTACTGTAAACAATAGTTTATCAATTTCACGTTAATCGATTTCTGTTATGAATATGAGGGACATGTAGAAGAGAAGGAGCCGGGAAAGCAAACCAACCACGAACAAAGCATTCTGCATGCAAGAAAGAATAATGTAAAAGGTGAAGGCAGTATGTAAACATCTAATAGATGCTTTATAACACACTATGGTGGAGTTCTAAGCAGATAGTAGCGCATTTAGCAGCTAAAGAGACGGATCGTTCCCTCTGGAGTTGGAGAAAACACTGGACTTAAATTCATCAGGTGGACTCAGGCATGACTCCAGATGAATGATAATGTTGCCGAGTGTCTGCTGAATGTGTAAATAAGCAACTGTTTGCTCAACTTAATAAGGCGATGATATGTCAATGTTTTGCAAGTGGCCAAAAAAACCCAACCTGTCACTGTTATCTCTCTTTCATATAATCATTAATTACGTATCTTTGGATTTTTGGACTGATCGTTGGATCAAATACTCCCCCAAGAAAGTTGCTGATAATAGATTATCCTATTTCATAAAAGCATCATGAACCCCTTTGGATGCAAGAACTTTTTACAGCCCACAATGCAATGCAGCATACATGGTCCTCTGTATTCGTCGATACATCCTCTGGTCCGTCTGTTTTGTGCTGGGTAAACAGCCAGCCGAGCGCGGCTTCGCCTGGCTTCATTTCCTGTCTGTGAGCGGGAGCCATTTGGGCGAAGTGCGCCGCTTGACTCTGAGATTCTCTCTCTGCTTTCATTAATTTATCTGCGATTATGAGGTTTTCTCTCTCCGCCTGTCGCTCTCTGCTTCTCCCTGTCCATCGCTGAGTGAAAGCCTTGCATGTATTAATGTTTTTGGATTTAAAAAGCAACTAATACTCGATTATTTTTCATTCAAAATCGACCATTTTCGTTGCCAAAAACATTGTTTCCACCAAAAGAGCAACACAAACGTTCCTGCATTAACTTTTAAGGTCTTTAAAGGTCTCGCTCTGCTGTTCAGAGTTAAAGCCATCATTTCTTATTCATATTCTTGTCCAATCCTGCATGAAAATCCTGATCTAAAATCTCCGCCTCAGGATGTGAAGGGCTGATTCGATCGGTGTGTTTCTAACTTCAGAACGTGGAGAACTGTTCCAGTCCTCTTTGGGGGAAAGAAAAAAACTTTATTTCAAAAAAAGGTCCAACAGAGAAGAAGACAAATGAAGAATTCAGCCGCCATTTTGCTCCAGTGTTCACAGAGCAAAGCAGGGAGGAATCATCCGCCGTGGGCAGAGACGCCCACAGAGGCAGAAAATAGAGAGGTTGAGGTTTTGAGAGTCAGGTGAGCAACTCTTCCTCCTGACTAATCGCCTCATCTAACTATACTCTCACTTGATACACCTACAGTCCACATGGAACCAGCGGCTGAATCCAACACACTCAACGCTGCTCTCTGGGGGTCGGGGGGGAAAAGGCATTTGGGGAAATGTAGGAACCCCCCA